CACATTTATTTTAAAGTTTCATGTTGAAATAAAATTCCAACATAAATTAACATATTTTATAACTAATATCTGGTTTTAAACTTGATATGAAAATATTATGATATAACTTGATAAGATTTTAAATTAGTATTTTATTAATGGTTGATAATTAGAAAATAAAACAAGGATAAATATATTTTTTGAATTTTATATCTTAGATTTAAGATGAATAAATATATCAAGTTAATTAATAATTTATTTAAAATGTTAAAATTTAATTTGTAAAAATAATATTTTAAAAGAGAAGAGTTATAATAACACCAGTGTAACTTTTACTAAGTATTACATCGCTCAACAACTTTATATTAAATGTGAATTTTATAAATTCAACCGTTAGATTGAAAGTTTTTTACTCTTAGATCATATATACAAAATTTTATATGAATTCAAGATGATTTGATACTTCATTCTTGTAAAATAAAATTAACGTAATATATACATTTCAAAATATACTAAAATATGAGCACTATAATTACCTTCAAGTTGTTGTTCAATTTTAACAAAACTTGATATAAACATATAAAGTGATATGAACTTTCAATCTAACGGTTGGATTTACAAAATTCACATTTAATATAAAATTATTGAGTAGTGTAATACTTAGTAAAAGTTATACCAGTGTTATTATAACCCTTCTCATTTTAAAATATAAAAATTTATTATTTAAACTTTTAAATTTATAATAAATAATTTAGATTGTATCATAATATTAATTTTAAATAGAAATAAGTAAATTGTTAATTATAAAAATAAGTATATATATAAATAAAGAATAATTAAATATAATTATTATATATTATTATATATTATAACGGTCCGGACACATCAAAATGAGAAGGATATAAAGATAGTATAAGTTGAGATTGTATAGTTGAGGATGATTTATATGAATTAATTTGTGCTACCTATACTAACAACATGCATCTACTTTTCGGTAGCTTATCTCATAAGAACTCCATAATTAAGCATGTTTGACTTGGAATAATAGAGGGATGGGTGACTTGGTCGCTATATAGCTTTGCGACCAGGGTTTTTGCGACTACTTAAATTCGGTCGCTAAAGTAAATAGCAACTGATTTTAACAATTTAGCGACCGATTTTGGTGGTCGCTAAATGCCATTTTTTTGTAGTGAATCTTAAAATACCCAACTACAACCTACGAAAATACCCATGACCAAAATACAACCTTCAATACCCATGACCAAAATATTTAAACATAATAAAGTGTTCATTGTAGGTTGGAATACCAAAGCCTTGCATTAGGGTTCATATTAAGTGATTAGGAGAGAGAACAACCAATTGAGAGAGATAATATTTGTCAACTTGACATTTAACTATCAATTGTTTAAGAAACTAATATAACTAATAACTAAGTATAATGAAAGAACTAACTTTTATGACATAGTTAAAATTTAGTAATCCAGATGACACAAAAAATCTTTTAGGAACATATTAGTCACTTCTACTATTTTTCAAGAATCAAATTGAGTATTTACTCTATTTTTATTTGGTTCCTATATATGTGCTGCATATATATGGACTGAATAAAAAAAATGTATGACAATGTTAATGGTTTCCAATCAAACCAATAATAATATATTTAAGAACCAATTTAATGAGATTTTACGTATAAAGACTAAATTGAAAATCTTGACATACATATATGCATTAAATTATATATTTAAAGCTAAAATAAATTTTTAATTCCTATAATTTCACTAACTTTACTTTTTAATTTTTATAGTTTAAGATATTTTGTTTTAGTTTCTATGCTTATATTTTTTTTAATATTTTTAATCTTTGTCATTAATTTCTTTGTAATGATATTTTTGATTGAGTGATGCAAGACTTATTAAATCTATGAAACAATGATGTATTTGATTTTTTAGATGGTGGTGAGTCACTCAATGATTTACCACACAGTTATCAACAATTTGATCGCTCATTTGAATCACATTCAATCATAGTAAATATTGACAATCCACATAAATCATCCAGACTCTTTATTTATTTTTTCTTCTAAACCATTAAGTAACATATCATCTTCAACAAAACCAAATACATCATGGCCATGAAAATTTAATAAGTTCATGCACTTACACGAAAATGATGCTACAAAAAAATTAACAATATGAATTAAAAAGAATTAAAAAATGTGAATAAAAAATATATTTTAAACTATAAGAACTAAAATGTAAAATAAGTGAAATTACACAAATTAAAAAATCATTTTAACCTATATTTAATTATTATGCATATTATAATATGATCATAATCTTTAATAGTATAGAAAACATTAAATTATTCTTTTATTAATTATTAAGAAAATAGTAAAATTAAAATTATTCTTAGAAAAAAAAAAGAATAAGGTAAGAATTTCCATAATTAGATTTGGCAAATATTTGCAAAATATAATACAGGAACAAAAAAAAGAGATTATTAATAAAAACAATAAAAATATGATCCTTTATTAAATTTGGATACATTGAAATGCGACACTCGTGAATCTTCACGTCATATTTCATTTTAGGTTTAAATACGATTTTAGTCTCTCAAATTTAAGGTAATTCTGTTTTTGACCCCTCAAATTTAAAATTATTATTTTTAGTCCCTATAATTTCAAAAAATCTTATTGTAGTCCTTATATTCAAATTTCGTTAAGAAATTTATCAAATATTATTGTATAAAATCTACTTATTAGTGTCCCTATTAGTAAAAATATCACATTAAATTCGGTTGATATTACATAACTATTTTAATTAGTCATTTTCAAATATGTTATTGATGATCTAAGAGACTAAAACAAAACTTTTAAAAATTACAAAAATTAAAAATAACAATTTTAAATTTAAGGGACCAAAAATAAATTCAAGAGACTAAAAGCCTTCATTTTATTACCTTTGACCGTTATCGAGGCTAACCTTACCTTACACCTATTTCATTGAACCTTCCCACTCTCTTATAAATATTCTCCAAATCTTCCGCCACCTTCATTAGACCAACGCTTCCCATTCTCTTTCACTTCTTCAATCTCTCTCTCTCTTTTTTTTATTCTCAAAACTCTCAAACACTCATCCTCCCCAAAATACACAAATAATCCAAAAACAAACACACTAATTTTCAACCACAGTTTTGGCATCCATCATAAACCAAATGAATGAAACTTTCTCTATGGGGTTTCATCATTGATTGCCATGTCAAACATACCCTCATCACTTTCTGAAATTTGCCTCACCCACTTTCGCCTTGCCATGTCCACCGCGGATCCATGGCCCTTCTCATGATTGCTACCTTTTAAAAGTCCCACATTCGTTAGAAATCCAGACAAGATTACATTTATAAGCCTTCTGCTTTTTCCCTCGTTCGTTGAATTTCCTTTCCTAAGGTCATGCAATTCAGGCTCGGCAGGCGCGTGATTCGGGTCACGAGATGGATCTTCCGTCGGCCCAGGGCCCGGCCCAGATACTACTACGCGCGTCTGGGTGGCGGCCCATCATCTTCGGGGAATCCTATGACGAAGCTTCTCACGTGGGGACGAAATCTGAGGACACGAGCGAGGTCCTTATGCCGGAAGAAAACCGGGTCGAGTTACCTACCGATCGGGTCGGATCTGGAAAAGGCTCCGCCGGTGCCGAAGGGTCACTTGGCGGTGTACGTCGGAGAGGAGGACGGCGAGTTCCGGCGGGTTCTGGTGCCGGTGATTTACTTCAACCACCCTCTGTTCAGTGAGTTGCTGAAAGAGACGGAGAAGGAGTTCGGGTTCGAGCACCCGGGTGGGATCACGATTCCGTGTCAACTCACTGAGTTTGAGCGGGTCAAGGAGCGGGTTGCATCCGGGTCGGGTTTGCGCGGCAGAATCCGAAGACTCACGTGACGGCTATCATTTCAAGATTTGGTAAAATTTCGATGACGACGATTAAGAGTTATTATTACGATGGTTTTGGAATTTTTTGTTTTTGGGATATTTTTTGTTCTTATATTAGGTCGCGGTTATTGTTCTAGTTAGGAATTAATGGGTTGGGTTTAGACTTTAGATTCTGATGGTGTAGATGGAGTTTTGAACATAGAGTAGAATTAGTGATACTGTTGTGTATAGGTTGAATTAAAATATGAATCATTACCTCTTCAAGAAATTCTTGCTGTTTCCTCTACCCTATCATACGGGATTTGTTTCACAATCACGCATGTTAGATTATTCAGAATCATTATAATTTGTTGGTTCTACCTTCTTCCTTTCCTTCTTTATTAATTAATTATGAAGATCAATCTTTTTGGAAGATTAAGGGACTAATGTGGAAGATTCAACGTAACATAATGTGTCATTCAATTAATATAAGTTGATTCGAAATCTTATTCAAATATACCATGCACCATTAGAAATGTATTGAATCAATTCTTTTTATTTAATTGTAATTTTGAATATGGAATTCGAACATAATAGGAATTGTTTTTTGTTTTGAAATATAAAATAGGAAAATCAATCATAGAATGATACTGCAATGAAATTCAATTTGTGTTATTTATTTATAAATTTTGTTATAGGCGATAAATTTATTAATTTTCTTCTCATTTGGAATGATTGTCCTTTCTGGCTCTCCTCACTTGTCTTACATATGAGTGTCTAGTCCTTGTACAACATAAGCTTTCTTGTTTCATTTTATTTTCATTTTTCCTACATAAAAAAATAACCCAATTCTTATAACCATAGGTTGAGCAATGAGTACCGTCAAACGTTGTTGTAAATTATTGTATCAAGTTTAATTCGGTAATTCCCATGGAAATAAAAACCATTTCTCTGTAAATATTAATTCTTGTATCAAGTTTGATTTCTCTAATAAGAAAACCCCTATTCATATATACATTTTGTTTAGTTTTGTGGATTGAAGAAGGATGGAAGTATGGAATACAATATGAAAAAAAAATGATTTGAGAGAAAATTTTCTACTATGACACGTCAATTTTTTTATTTTTAATTTTTTTTATATAAACTAATAATCAATAAACTCAATATATACTTCACATTAGTAACATCAATATTAAATTTGTTAGACGAAATGTGTCAAAATAGTGTGTTGTTTTCCAAAAAAAGGAAAGAAAGGGTCACACACCCAACTTGACACCGAAAGAAGAGGTCACAACGACCCATGACTCATGAGGTTCACAATTCAGGTACAGAGTGTGGACAAATTGGGTACACTATTTTTGCCTCTTAGAGAAGAAAAAAGCAAACATTGAAAGAGTTACATGGACCATCCCACAACGTTTTCTCACCGAAAGTGTTTCCATCACAATTCCTATAAGAGCATCTACAATGGGAGTATCACTTTAAATGGGTCCTATTGTGCCACGTCACTCATAAGCAACTCATACTATATTTTTATAATTTTTGCTCCAATGGAAATTACTTATAAGCACTCCTACTTTTTACAATTTATACTACACTTTTTGACACCTCACACTACATTTTATAAAATTTGGTACAGTTAATAAGAGCTAAGCAACGTTGCTTGCTGAAGCTCCGTTGCTAAAAGATAAGCAACTTTCTATGCCAGCTAGAACTACTCCAATGGGAAGTGCTTCTAAACATTGGAGCTTATTTTTAAGGGACAGCATAAGCTACTCCCGTTAGAGGTGCTCTAATGTAACTAATGCAAACCCAGATATTTATATTCTATATTCCATCAGATGTGAAGTGAAGGTAACCCTCCACTTGTTGTGTGCAATGACCAAAAAGGCTCAATAGGACAATAGCTTATATATTAATCTATGTGGTCCATTCAAATGAAGTTTCTCACTTTTAATTCTACTTTTTTTTCTTCATGGATTTTAAGGATTCGTCTATTTCTTCACCAAGTTTATTAATTGTTGTGCACTGATTACTACAATACACAAATCTTTAACTGACAATGTGTGTAATTTGATTAACAATATGTTGCCATAACTGTACGAGATGTTGGTGATTTAAGAAAGAAAATAGAGATGTGACCACTCTTATAGGATGATGAATAAATAGTAGCCTCTCTGAATTTGAGGAGCTGGTGGTAGCTAGAAAATATGCATTGTCAGACCTATATTTTACTCAACATAGGAAGGTTCTAAAGACACAACACTAGTATAAAATATGCAACTATTTATGGACATAACAGAATCTCAAACATTGAAAATTTCAACCTTTGGTTGCGCGTTAGTAGCAAGTTCTCCATTACTTCTTTCTCATTTGTTTGTCCTGATTCTATTCTAATTCTACATTACCAACTCTTACTTTAGTTTTCACACATCATTTTTCCAAGTCAGCAACCTGGTGGAGCTAGTGATCCACACGCATGAATCTGCTCAATATTAGAGTCTACCCAATATATTAATAATGAGTCTTATAATTGTTAGAAAGGGATTACTAGTTCATTTTCATAAATTTGTAAAGTAGTATACCTCATGAGTATATGTCTAACTTGAAAAGGCAAAAACTTAGTATTCTAATTATATATCCTTCAAGAAATTAAGAAACAATGATCATACTAATTATGCCATGGCTGAACTTGCATTCCATCAATCCATTGGATTCAACACCTTGTGTTCTGGATTGGACTCTTTAGGCCCAACTTTTAGTAATAGACCATCTTGGCCCAAAAAATTCATAAATGTAAAAAAAAAAAAACTGCTAAGATCCCTTATATGGTGCTGAAAAAAGGCCCCCAAATGCCAATTGTGAGGATTATTCAACTTGTCATCAATAGCATTGTGATGCAATCTTCCTAAAAAAATATTTCTTTATCTTTATTTAAATAATCTTTTAAATATATATTTTTATAATAATTTCAAATTAGATTAATTAATTGTAGTGCAGATTCATATGAATTCAATACTTAAGCTTTTGTCTATTTTACTACTTGCAACAATTTGTATGTTTGACAAAAGTCTAATAACTATTGGTTGTAAGATTATTATCAAACCACTTAAAAATGTCTAACAAACAAATGATCAATTCCTGACATGAAAGCAATACATATTATATAATAGAGATATCACAGTTTTAAGATAGAATTGAAACTTATTTTAATCAAAATCTAATTTGTAAATATTAAAATTGAAAACTTAAAACATTGCTCCTCTTCCTCCTTCATGACCAACCAAATATAAAGAGAACATAAACTAACTTTCCACTAAACAACTTTGATATATATATATATATATA